AGCCATATCAGAATTCTTGCTTAGAATAAGCGTTTACAGAATTTGCCTTTCTCTGTAAACTAATACATCCAGACTTTTGCAGCCCCAAAAGAACCCCTCAAAATCCCTCATTTAAGGATTTAGAGCAGAAACTGAAATTCTAGTTACAAGTGAGGACAGGGTACAAAATCAAAAGATAATAAAGCACAAGCTATTAGCACATGGAAGTGCTCTATCTAGAATAAACCAGTCTGCCACAGAGGGACTGAAGTCCCTCATTTCAGCACTGCCCTTAAATTCCTATGAAACACAGATTCTGTCTCGGAGGAAGGTTCACAGTTAACCACAGACTACAAATTCAAAACCAGACAGACAAGCATAAAGAAAATGAATATATTTTATTTCACAAGCTTAAGAAATGCAGTTCAATATACAGCTAATTTTGGTGACAGGTATATTGAACAAAAGGCTATCTAATTAATAATACATTTTTTATTTCTTAACACAAAGAATTTTACAAAATTAACAAGATGTATTATATAGAAAAGCATAGCTGGCTGAATATTTGAAGAAGCACGGAATATTTCAATACGGAGTTTAATTTTTGTTGTGACAGAGGTGGGTTGGTTTGGGGTTTTTTTTACACTTTTCTTGTTTTATACTTTCAGAGTAGATAGGAAATGATATTTATCAGTTTGACAAAATATAATTTCTAAGTTTTAGTTTAAAAAAATCACAGCAATAGAAAATACGGAAATCAGATATTTAAATATAAATTATTTGTTTTGAAAACCACTTAGCAAAATATAGGAAAAGTAGTGTATTACAAAATATATGTGTGCTTATTAAAACCTTTGTGGTTCAATGCTCAGCTTCAGATGCCTGATGAAAAAAATAAGATCAGTCAACATGGTCCACATGGCAGTTCAAAGGCTGACTGGTGTGAATATCTCTGCAGTTTCAGTACTGCAGACATTCTCAAAATCAGAAAAGGATGACCTGCTCTATTTCAGGCTAAGTACCAGTATAAGAAACAAAAAACAAGACAAAGAATGTTATAAGAACAATCATATTATTTTTATAAGAAGAAAACTCTGAGGAAAAGCTACCATTGATTTATACAGTCAAATCTAAAGCTTTTCACAATGCATCATAGAACTAAATTTTCTCTTGCATATACTTCTTCATGCATTTTAGTTTCTAATTTCTTACTATTTTAAAACAGGCAACTTTATTATAATACCAAGTAAATGACGCCTTTTGGTATAGGGAGCAGTCTTTACTATTTCCAATGAAAGGAATGAGCAGTGTTCATATTAAATAATTGGTTAGCATAGCTTAACAGACACGCTAAGAAATTTGCCATGTGTTATTCTGAAAGCTTCTAAAATTTTCACTCCTTGAAATCAGTTTAACAGTAATGACGAAGCAAAGCACATCAAGACTAAATCCTCCGTTATTTAGCTCACTCCTTGTTTAGAAAATGTCTCTTCTTCATCTTTGTCATCTTCCACTCTAAATTCCCCAAGGGTTCCTTACAATATTAACAAAATCACTATCATCCACTATTCCAATACTTAATCCTTCATAGTAGTCTTCGAACTCAGAATAGGACACTTCATTGGGGTTGCTGCAAGACTCTCCTAGAGTTTCTAGAAATGATGATTTAATTGCTTCTTCTGTAGCTTTGCCTGTAAAAGTATTATTTTTTTCCATTAAATACATTTTCAAGAACACTGAATATATAGCATTAAATATATTTCAGGCAAGAAATTTTCAAATTTTAGCTTGCAAATATTTTTTCTTGAACAAATTCAGTATTATGATTTCAGAATGAAGTAATTGGCTCACTTAATACCAGCTGCAGAAATCATCCTACTTTAATAGTAATGATAGCATTAACTCTAATGACAGCATTACATATCAACAGAAGTACAAAGCCACAATTAATTTCAATGAACTATATTAGATTTTTTTCTTTAAGTGACTGCAAAAACTGAATTATGCATTAATAAATTGAAATGTTGATAATTTAGAAGTTACCTTTTAATAAAGCATATGTTTAAAGTAATAAAAGTTCAAAGCTCTGGAAAAACCTTAAGATGCAAGTTTGCATTTGAAAAGTGTTCTGCAATTGACATGTGTGTTTTAATGACTTAATAAAGATTATACTTAGATTATTTCATAGCTTTGAGAAAAAAATTGAAAAAATACAGTATTATAGAACTGGAAAAAACTGCATGTGTAACTTTCTTATACCATCATGTGTCTTCATGTATTACCATTAAAGTCACTGGCAATATAAACATCCTCTCCTCTACAGGTAAAACAAAGAGGGTCAGGACACTTGGGAGAATTTCACAATGTCTAGTTTGGTATATGGAGATGTTATTTTAGAAACTGACATACAAATATTTCAATTCCTATTTTTTCAATGGCAGAGTTTAAACATTTTTGAGAATCCTAAAATAATAATGAAGATTCCAACACTTCCTCTGTAAAGGATGACAATCTTCTCCCAGAAATGACTGAATAATTTATTCAGAAGGAACTTCAAGTGCTGAGTACAATCAGTGTCAGTTGGAAACCTTGCATATTTTGATGGAAAACAGTAATATGAAAATGAGAGTATCCTCCTAAGTGAAAATTACTAATATCATATGTGTCACTGATAACTTACACAGCAAAGCTGAGACCTAACCACCTAAATGTAGTCCCACACAGGAAGGGAAAGGAACTACTCTACATATATGCAGTATTTGCAGCTTAATAAAAGTATTAAAATCATGTTATTTGAACTCCATTACTACTTACAGTCATGTTCCAGACAGACACATTATAGGCCATTAGAAGAAAAAGATTCTCCTTAACAGCTCAAGTTTAAGCCAACATGCAAACAGTTTGTATTTGCAACTAGTTTCTGGATCTGGTATCTCTGCTAACAAAACTAATTCAGTAGTTACAGATTTTAATTTTGTTTTTTTTCATGTGAATTACCTGCCAATACTAGAGGATGTCTCTTTGCACAGTAACATTTTCTGATATCTACCATAGGCACACTCCCAGTTTTGTTGAAATCTAGTTTCATATAAGCCTACAAAGGGAAAAAAAAAATCATATAAGGAAAAAGAAAAAGAATAAAAGGAGTGGAAAGATGTAAAGATCAAATATACTTAACTACCAGGCATATATTTTCAGTTCTTGTGCAGTGGATTACATCAATTTACCTATTTTACGTAAGGCACCAGACACCCCAAAATTATTCTAGATTATGGAATTTCATTATTATTTTATCTCAACAGCTTTCACATCAAATGTGGTCCCCTCACCAACTCAAAAAAATATGTCTTCTCTCCAGAATTTCTAGCTCATCCTTAGAATCAGAAATTAAGCTGCTTCCATTCTGCCTCCTCCAATTATTAAGATTTCTGCGTCGTTCTGACAGGCCTCAACACAGCCTCTCCAGCACTAACAGCAGCTTCATTTTCATTTCAGTTTGCTCAGACACACATGCTCGCTATGTAAGGCTAGGAGAGTCAGATCCTCCACAATTAAAAGTATGAAAGTATGTGTCATTTTTCTTGATCTTGATATCCTGTCACTACTCTATTGGCTGGTTTGTAATCAGTGTTTCATAGTGCAAACAGCTCCACATTACATTATAGACATGTAACAAATGGCATTTCAAATACAGGAAGTCTCACAAATATAATGACTCTAATTGTAGGCCTCAAAGGAGGCAAATACTATTGCCTCTACTTCAGACATTGAGGAAAAAAAAAAATCTGCACACAGATACAGTAATCTGCCAAAGTAAGGAAACAGACTTCTGGAAGATACGGGTGACAGAAGTTTTATACACTGGACCAAACTGTTAGAATAGCACACACATGCACAAACTCAAAATAATAAAGGATTTAATTTCAGAGTTCAAAATTAACTGATTCAACAATGGAACAGCATGCAGTCTTCTAATTTATGTTTATTTTAATGAACTGATCTGAAAGTTTAAAAAGTCGATTACCAGATGCACAACTCAAGAAAAGCAACAACCACAAAAAACCCCAACAGCCAGAACATGACAAATAGCCAATTTCAAAGTTAGACTGCAAAATATCTACACCTAGAATATGTGCAACAAAACTTACTTTTCTTACAAATGCTTTCCGATATTCATTCATTTCTCCAAATACAGCACGAGTAAATTCTCCGCAGTCGACCTTGTCACTCTTGCTGTCATCAAGAATAAGCCATAAAGATTTAAAGTCCTGGAATTTAAAAATATTTTTACGAAGTTCTTCATTATATCCTAGAATGAAACAATTGCTATAATAGGACATTACAGTACTCTCACAAAAAACCCTTCCAAATAAAAACTGACTCAAAGATTTGTCAAAATAATGCAAGTCATCATCAGTCACCGATGACCATAACTCACACTATCTGCAGTTTTGATAGCTTTGGGCTGGTTTTAAAACATATTATATAAAACCAAGAAAAAAAATAAAAAGCATCATATAATTTTTAAAAGGAAAAAAAATTAAAAAATGGATTGTAATCCCACTTGCTGCTTCATCATGCTAAAAGACTGCACATTTTTTTGTTGTTGTTGTTATTATTTTTAAGAAATTCACATAGGACTGAATGCAGAAATGCCAATATACCACAAGGGAAAAAAAAAAACCCCAAAACTTGTAAAAAGTAGCTATTAAACAGATTTAAGCAAAGAAAGGAAGTGATTGCATACATTACAATAAGGTAATACTCGTGATTACAGTTTCAGCTAGACTTACCTCTTCGGGTATTTCCAAATGGAATACTTTTAGAGCTTCTTTAAAGTCTGCCTGAGAGAGAAAACCATTTCTGTTCTTGTCTATCTGTCGGAAATACCTTCCTAAGCCTGTTATAACCCGAACTCCTCTTTTACTTAGTGTCTCTCTGAGTGTGCCTGAGGATTTAGAGAAATAAAGGACACGATGTTTACCTGAAATTTGCCACATGCCATGGAGCGGGTATAAAAGTAAACCAAAACTACTTAAGATACTGCTGGTTAAAATGACATATCCACGCATGCAAGCTCCCTTATCTTTGAGAGAGAACATCAGTTCAAAATGAAACTATCAGCTACTTAATATTTGAGTAGAAATCCTATAAAGCAGCAGCCAACATTAACAAAATATTTAAAGAGATCTCAGAGGAAAGGAAGAATTAATATCACCCTTTATGTGCTCAGATTATAAAACTGTTTAGTTCTGCAAGAACTGATTATATACCATGATTCAACACACAAAGCAATTTAGGAACACTACTTTGGTAATAAAAACATTCCATTATGGGACACAGAGCTGCTCCTTCATTGAATAAACATGTTAAATACATGCGGAAACAAAAGCAATTATAAGGAATTTTGCATAGTCCTTCCAAAATGACATAGAAAGAACTATTTCTATGGTAAAAATGACAGCCTCATCAAAATCTCTAGGTAGCAGGTTTACTTTAGGGATGTCCGAGTTTCTCAGCAATACTCTGTTAACGGAAGTGATCTACTATTATCATACTATATCTTCAGATTACTTGTATCAACAATTATAAATCAAAATAGGGGAGATGGTGAAAGAAAGCTTTTTTCAGTAAAGATCAAATTCAGATGTATATTAAAAAATGTCTTGAAGTATATACACATAACCTTCTTCCAAGCCACACTAGCAAACCTTAGATGTAGTCAGATAATTAAGAAATCAATTTGTGTCTCTTATGTGAGGTAAAACATGGAATAACTAGAAGATTTTAAAATACCCCTAATTTATTATTCCAACATTTTTCATGAACATAAATGTCCAAGCAGATTTCAGTGACCAAAAAGTTTAAAACAGGTTTAGCTAATCATAGAATGGTTGAGGTTGGAAAGGACCTAGAGCACATGAACCAGGATTTCGTCCAGACGGTTTTTTAATATCTCCAGGAAGGGAGACTCCACAACCTCCCTGGGCAGCCTGTTCCAGTGCTCAGTCACCCTCACTGTAAAGAAGTTCTTCCTTATGTTCAGGTGGAACTTCCTATGCTGCAGTTTATGGCCACTGCCTCTCATCCTATTGTTGGGTGCCAATGAGAAGAGTCTGGCCCCGTCCTCTAGACACTCTCCCTTCAGGTATTTATAAACTTTAATCATATCCCCTCTGAATTGTCTTTTCTCTAGGCTGAACAGGCCCAGCTCCCTCAGGCTTTCCTTATATGAAAGATGCTCCAGTTCTTCAATCATCTTAGTCGCCCTTTGCTGTACACACTCCAGGAGTTCCCTGTCCTTCCTGTACTGGGGAGCCCAGAACTGGACACAATACTCCAGGCAGGGCCACAGCAGGGCTGAGTAGAGGGGGAGGATTGTCTCTCTCGACCTGCTGGCAACACTCTTCCTAATACAACCCAGGATACAGTTAGCCTTCCTGGCCACAAGAGCACACTGCTGGCTCATATTTAACAACACTAAACAGTGGAGATTGTACGAGTTGGAAACTGGCCAACAGTTTTTGCTGACCACAGGTTACAAAGATAATAAACAGCACTGCGTAAACATCTTTCCATAATTTTAAACATAAAGCTACGTCTTTATCCTAAAGACTGAAGGTAGGAACCTGGTAAAAATTTAATTACATATTCCAGAATATACTACTTAATTGTACTAATGTATTTTAATAAGCATAATATTAAATACTATCAAAAAGCAACTTATCAATATACAGAAATAATGGCCCAAAGAAGGATCTAGCACAAAATTACCTGAAGAAAGGAGATGGTGTTTGTACATATTATATTGCCAGTAACTTTTAAAATTTAATGCCAGTTTAACATAGGATTAGCATTATGCTTCATCATTTTTTCAGAGATTATATTGACAGAGATTAACATTTTATTGATTGCATTCACAATTAATTCTGTACTATCTCAATGAACTTTAGCCAGACTGTTTATTTAAAGAAAGAGAAAGTATATTTAAGACTGATTAATTCTAGTATCAGACACTAATAATATTCTGATAAATATCTAACTTTTGTTTAATTTAATTTATAACGTTACTATTGTTCTTTGCATTAAACTGTAAAGACAGAGACACAGAGATTAAAATTAAATGGGTTTTGGTACACACAAACCTTGAATCTTTTTGAAAATGTTGCTGCCATCAGCTACTTGCTTGGAACATTCTTGCTTGAATTCCACAGAAGAAGCTCTAAGATAATTAAAATTAATCTTGATTGGTGAAATTATACGTAATATTACTGAATTCACAACAGATGTAGTAAAAAACATACTGAACTTTATATTTAATTCTTATACTACCCTCATAAGCATAGTATCCTGTTGCTTAAGTTTGAGAAGACACACACAAAACTCTTTGTTAAACAGCTGCAGATATGCAGAAATTCCTTCCTAACAATACTCCATTAGCAGCTCCTCTACTAATTCATTAATCATGGATAATTCCTCCTGTGCATCAAATCTCCAGAAATTTATTTCAAGACAATCCTAATGTTCAGCTCAGGCCACTGGAATGGTTTGTTAAAGCAACTACATTTATTACCAACAGGAAAATAACATGAAGTAGCTACAAATGTCTCTTAAGAAGAGAAATAGCAAGGGTGTAGACTAAAATCTGGATCAGCATCTCTTACGTATGCTATAGGAATTATGGTTAAATTGTGCATTTTGTCTGGCAAGAGATTCCCTTCTGAGAAAGGCTTCCCAGAAACTCCCATCAGAAATTATTATGGAGGTTGATAAAAAAAAATACTGTGGAAGAACCTATCGGAAGGAAAAAAGATAAAAGTCCAGTAATAATTTTAATCAGAATAAGAAGGCAAATGCAAAAACACGACTGTCATCTTTGAGCTGCTTGCTCACCAGTGTTTTGCCATGGACTACTCCTCCTTCTGCTCTCTGAGGCTAAAGACTTATCTTTCTGTTGTCTATTAAGACTTTTCACCTCCACTTTGAGTACCTCCCATTATGAAGTCCATGAGAGCTTGTCTATATCAAACCACCTAAAACTGGAAAGCCAATAACCACCTACAGAGGACAACATACTCTCTCTAAAACACATATAAACCACAAAAGAACCATGGCTTGTGACAGCAGGGCATAGCTGCTCCTGAAAACCTGTAACAGACTTTTTGGATGGTACCTGAGCAGGATTCTCTGTGCATACAGTAATGGGATAAGAAGAGAAGACTCAATTCAAAGAGTTTTGCACCAGAGAATACAGAGTTCAAGAACAGCCTCATTCAGAAGAAACAAGACAGATTTCACAACCTGAAATTTAGTCACTAATGGAAAGAACACAGAGAGAGAGTATTAGAAAAAAAAAAAAAAAAAAGAAACAATCTGTCCCACCACAGGTAGCAGAAAATCTGAAATTATAACCCAGTGAGCGCGTCTGCTTTCTGGAGCCTTCAGAGATACCACTGGATCAACTCCAAATTTCACAGCTATAAGATTAGCAACAAATGAAGAAAAAGCTGTTTACCAGAATTATAGGTTTCTGAGATGTAAAATGTCTTCCATAAACTATCTGAAATTAAACTGCATTGTTTTTTATTTAATGGAAACATTGCAGAGAGGGAACAATTAGCACTAAGCATCATACATCTATACATTTCTTTAACCAATTATATTTGAATTGACTGTTTTATGTACTATTAGCTCACTATGGCACCTTTGCAAAGCTTTCAGTGTAAAGGGACCTTAAAATGAATATTACCGTAACTGGGAACAAGCTTCATGTGTCTAAACACTAGCAGAAAGAAAAATAAGTCAGTTAAGTTGTTCTAACAAAAGCAGTCTTTATATAGCGAATGTATTTATCTGAGATTCTGTTATTGCTGTTTCTAGTCAAGAAAGGACTGAAGCACCTGATATATGAGGAGAGGCTGGGCAAGCTGGGATTGTTTGGCCTGGAGAAGAGAAGGCTTTGGGGATCTTATCAGTGTCTATAAATACCTGACAGGAGGGAGTAAGTTCAGAAATCCTGTCCCAGTTCTTGAAGTCTTCAACAGGTGGTAGTACCTGGAAGAATGAAGAATTAAGGGATAGGAAAAGGAAAAGAAAATTAAAAAGAAAGAACTGAGAGAGAAATCTCCAATCCTTCCCCTGCCTGTGTTCAAACATTCGCATTATCATGACTGATACCAGCTTTTAATATAAGCTTCCAAAAAGATTCAACGATAATGTTAATGACAAAAAGAGCATTTTTTCCCATATGTAGCATTTCAGTTCAACACATAAGAAAAGTTTTGGTATATGATTTGTATATAAAAACATCTGACTCCAAACAAAGCAAATAAGCGTTTAATAATTTATTTTGCATTTTAAAATTACTTCTTATCATTCTAGAAGGTTACTGAATCAGAACATCCACTAACATCTATTACTAATTTCTGCTAACAACAGCCTAAATATGGATTTTTTTTTTTAGCAATATATGTAATAAGATGTTAGAAGCCCTTATTAAAAAAAATATTTTTTTCTTAATGAAGAAAAGGTAACTTAAAAAACAGTTAGCTGCACTTACTTCAGAAAATCCATAGCTGCTTCATCAATACTAATCACACGAAGGGTAAGAATTGGGCTCTGCTTAACACTTTCTGGAAGGCAATGATCAGCACTTTGGAAAGTTAGGTTACCTCCCTGTTGGTAAAGCATAAAATGATTTACAAATAGGTTGCGTGTTTCCTAAAATATGTTCTGCAAGACTTTCAAGAAGAATGATTGTTAAAAGCCTTGGTATGAAGTGATGAGAAGGTCTAGCTAAGGTCAGTTAACCTTCTTAACAGAGCCTTTCTAGAACTAAATAAAACCAGCTGCAGGCTCCAACATGACATTATCCTCTACATAGATGTTTGTCTGGTAAGGGGGGCTACTGTCACCTAATCTACAGCTAAGGAACATGAGCCTACAGATCCTTGTTCCCTCAGCCAGGCTCTACTTTTCTATTTTTCTTCTCCCTTCAATCTTTATGGGATCAAAAACTCACTGTATCACAGAAGAGTCACAGAAGGTGCCGCACTGATTCTGTGCGAGTGAAGTTCTCTTAGACTAGAAGAAACACTCTACAGTTATTTTCAATAACTTAAAATCATACTTGAGATAAATAACTAAAAAGTAGTCTTCCCAAAGTTCAAATAATTCCTGCAATTTTAACTATAAAGTTATTCTTTTAAATTACTAGATGTCACTAATAAATACTGTTCTGGTTTTTAGCTGAAACAGAGCTGGGTTTCTTTCTCAGTAGCTAGAATTATGCTGCGTTTTGCTTCCAGCCTGGGACTTGCTGTGAGAGAGACACTGATAAACATACCAGTGTTTGCATTGTTGTCATTGGAAGTGAAGGACTTTGTCTTCTGTTAATCCACAAGCACAAGATTTAAGGGGGGAGAAGAATATTTAAATTAATAAACTTAATCAACAGTTAGATATGCCAATGGGGTGTTCCATATCATATCATGTCATGTCCAGTATATTAGTGAGGGTCTCTTCCTCTTTTGTCTCTCTCTGGCTTTCACTCAGGTTCTTGTTCTTCCGGGATTGCGGTTTCGGTTGGGGATTGTCGCTCCTCCGGGATCATTATCTGGGAACAGGCTGGGCTCGGTCAGGAGGGGGCTGAGCTGTAACATTGGGTGTCATTCACTTGCATATTTTGTTACAGTTTTCATTATCTCTACTGTTTTAATATTAGTATTATTTTAAGTTTTCTCTCTATTATTAAACTGTTCTTATCTCAACCTACAAGCCTCCTTGCCCTTGCCCCCCAGTCCTCTCCCCTATCCCCTGGGGGTGGGGGGGAAGTGGGGGAACAGCTGTGTTGGCTGCTGGCCAAGGGCTAGCCCAGTGAAACTATCACAATACTGAATGAAAACATGTTAGTAGTAGTATAGAGTGATATAGAATATTACCCAGTATAGTCTCTTCTGAATATTGCAAAATCCCCTTCCCTCCAAGCTGGGGACAGAGAACATACCTCATATATTTTCCAAAGTTAAAGAAATTTTTTGGTTTGGGGGAAGAGGGAAGGGGACAGAAAGAAAAGGAGCAAACTAAAAGTAAGGAATGTTGAAAAGAATGAAAAAAAGCAGTAGCTCTAACCGTAATATCCATGCAGGCTTGGGTTATAAAGCCTCCAAAACTCATAAATTAGGAACGAGACAAAGACACTGTTATTGTGCCAGTGCCTCAACCACTTGGACTTTGTGGGAGATTTGTATATGTTAATGTCAGCCCAGAAACCAAATTTTCAGATATGGAGAATCACAGATATGACATCATTCCAAAGAGCTATTGAAGCCAGTAGCAGTATATTTTCTGGATGGCTTTAAGATACATCTTTATTCAGAACACATTTCCAACTGCAGGTTGCAAAGATACAAAGGACAACTAAAAAAAAAAAAAAAAAAAACAAAAAACAAAGAGTGGCAACCTCTGTACCATAGAGAAAGCAATTGATTTCAGCTTGGAAACTCTTGTATGGCAGCCACAGGTAAATATTTAGCATCAGGCAGGTGATTAGACAAAACACTCTAAAAACTAATGCCTTATTTTCAATACTTCATTCAAATATGCCTTTTGCTCTAAACTTCAGATTTGCAAGAGAATGTGAAGAACTCAGTGAAAACAACCTAGAAGTACTCTAAAAGCACTTATAAACAGGAACACTTAACCCAGTAAAGAAGTACCGAAGACGCAATATGATTCATAGTCACTCATCAGATTCACTGGTAGATGAAGGTTACCATCGTTTCAGAAGTTCTGTCTAACTTTTTCAAACTTTAGGTTAAAACCAATGAACCTGCAATTTCCTCATGTTTAAAAAAAATATTCAACCATTGCCTCGTGTCAAAAATGCCAGCAGACCTTGCAAAAATTACTTTAACAATACTTTGGTCTACTTCATTTTCAGGACTCTCCGAGTTGTTCACTTTGTCTACAAAAAGGTCTACACTGTCTGCAGTCTTGTGCCCTCTACTGGGAAAATTACAAACTACAGCTTAATCTGAAGCCAAAAATGGAATCTCTAAAACGTGGGAAACAAAATAAACCAGACTCTTAAAAATCTTTCATTCAAAAAACGTTACTGAAAGGAAAGACTTTTGGTCTTACCTGAAAGATAGAGCACAATTTTCAACTCGAATATCTAAATATTACTTCCAAATCACCAACAAAATGGCCTTACATTCAGCAGAATACTTACAACGTAGAAGTCACTAAGATCATAAGCTTTTCCCTTCTTTTGTCCGCGTTGATGTTGATAAACTCCCTTCTGTATGAAAGGCAAGGCGTTTGTTCTGTGAAATTATTAAAAACTGATATTAAACAATTAAATTTATTTAAGTTTCTTAGACAGAGTAGAAGATGTTTTCTAAAACCTTTTTAAAAAGAAGTAACTTATCCTACCTATTTTTTCCAAATTGTCGAAATTCGTACACAGTAAGGGATCTGTCACATGCAAAAAAAAATCCAATCAACTCTCTACAAGCATCGCGACCATTTCTAGAAGGAAAATTGGAAAGCACTTTTATGTTTTTGCATCTATATAAATCCAATTCAACTCAAGCATAAATAGCATTGCTATTTTGGAATATGCATTCTATTTCCAATGTTGCATACTGTACTGTCTTTTTCTTTGAAAGAGATATATGACTATATTCTCTAAACCACCATGGAATTCAGCTTCTGGATTTGGACACATATGCCATTCTCCATAATGTTAAAAATACCTTTCAAGGCTTCATGTTTTAGTATACCACTGTAATTTTCACTCATTAACTATTAGTCAATAAGGATTAGTTACACCAGGACTACTGCATTCATTATGGTATATATGAAGCTTTGTGGCTGAATCCTCAGCTATGTCTAACAAGTATACAGCTTACAACTTCAGAAAAGCGCCACTTTCAGAACTGAAGAATACATTTATGTCATCGTTACTCAATTCAGAACAGTTTCAAAGATGTCCTAAACCTTCAAGGTTAATATGTAAGAAGCTACCAAGAAGACACAAAGCCTCCTTTCCACCCACAGCGGTTGCCACAGACCAAGACAAGCCTAAATTAAATTGTAATCAACCAAGGTGGAACAGCTAAGAGCACTATTTTACACAGCCCCTGTGCTAACTGTCCTGCAGAGCTACGCGTATGATGGTAACGTAACATTACTTATGCATCTTAACACTGTAACAATGAGACTGTGAAGCCACTTTTCATCAGCCATGTCAGAATTTGTATTATACATGTATGCATATATATACTCTCACACCGCACATACTTGTTTCTAAACAGAGGGAATAGAAACATTCAATGTGATTAATTATTTCAGGAGGGTAAAGATAATAATTCTTAAATTCATAGAATTGAAAAGCTTCACAAAATTTGTGATTACCTCGATATGATCCTACTATCAAAGCGTAGCTTGTTAGAGAGCATGCTTTCAGTTAATGCTGATTTGGTCCTTATTCTGTGAAAATAATGCAGCATGTTAATGATACCTAATACACTCACAGAGAAATGTTACATAAAAATCAACTGTTTCGAAACAGCAAAAAATGTGAAATATGGTATCCTTGGCAACTGGCTGAGGAGATGATCCCTTGTATTTGAATTGGAAAGCAACTCAGTTGTAATGTAGAAGGTGTTCTGTAATTATATAATATGAGAGTATATTTATTCACAGAATGCATAGATATAAACAGGATAATTCGTTTATATACACTTTTATATAAAGAATTAAACCTCTACCACTCAACATACTTCCACAAATCAATGTTTTCTTGCAAAAATACCCAGGCTGGGGTTTCTTTACCCACCTAGATATTTTATATTGGCCATATTACTAGTTCCAGAAATGGAGATTTGTCCATGTGATGGGTGTAAGGGATTGAGACTGGTTTTGTTGCCTTTTTTTTTTTTTAAGAATACAGATTACATTTGTTGAGAAAAACTTTAGAGCAGGATGTTAAAATGTGCAGAGCAGACATGTTTGCCTGTATGTTAAGAAAGATTAACAGAACAAAACTCAGACCTGCAGATTCATTTCATTTCATGGATCACAGTGTTTTCTCAGTTTTTCTTAAGCCCCTGAAGTTACTATTTCAATACTTGGAGGCCAAGAATGACATTTAAATGTCAATATGGTTAATTATTGCAGCAGAAATCAAAACATAAAAGAAAAGTATTATTACATTGTGAAGATCTATATTAGCATTTACATATTTATGCAATTTATGCACCTCGAGATAGGGATCTCTAAAAGGATATGACAAGATTGCAAGCATTCAACAGCTCAGAAAAGGCTGTCAAAACCCTGTGATGAACAGTATCAATATAAGCTTAAGAATGTTCTCCTAGGCTTTATAAATTGTATAAATCAATCATTATACACAGAGAATCCAAATAAAAAGGTCCCACTAGGCAACTATAAGCATGGGAAGGAGAGAAAAAAGGCCTCACATGAAGCTGGTGGATCCAAGCCACAAATAAAACATCTGGAAAGGCAAACCAACTTTGCAGAGCCCAAAATAATAAAAAATACAGTAGAAAATGTGTATTAAAAAAAAAAAGACTGCTAGAGAAAACTTACTTTGTTTCATGCAGCGTTCTTTTTCTAAAACGTACTGGTGCTGTCCCAAGCTCCAGAGGTCCTTGAGCTTCCTTGGCAACATCAGCACGCGTGGACTGCTCTGGGTCACTTATAACAGCTCTGACCAGAAAGAGTCTGACTATTACTAAGCTTGAATTTCAGATCTTACATGTTCTTACTCAGGAAAAAACCACCCAAGAATAACACAGCAATAAAATCTTGCAGTTATCCATTAAGCTTTTATAAATTTGTGGACTTATTTTTCTGTTTCTTTTTACAAATTCTGAAATCTATTACTCAAAATCAAATCTATGCAATAATATTCTAGCAGTGTACTACTGTGGTAACTTCACATGTATCTATGTAGTATTTAAAGTATATTTTAAATATGTATATAGAAAATAATTCTTAGGATTACAAAAGTTTTTTTTCTGACTTCCACTATTTCTGTAAATACCCCATTGGTGATATTCTTTATCAGTGGCTCCCCCAAAATTGGTGACAGCAATTACTAGTACTGGCCAATGACATCACCCAACAAAAACACTGGCACTTCTTCTCCCAAAGCACTGACTACATAGCCGATAGGATCTCAAAGTCCCATCAAGCAGACAAGAACTAAATAAACAGGTTTCTGAACCTTTTTATATTCTCTGTATCAGTTTAATAAGTAAACAAAAGAAGAGACCCTTTAAAAATAAATTAGATTCTTTTTACACTACTGGAATGGTTCATAATTAGAAGGAAAAAATAATTTTGCATGGCTAATATAGTTTTATAAACTTTCTCTCCGATCTACACAGATCAATCTTTACACACATCAGTTACACTGATTTAACTGCAAGATTGACTCTGGCTCTGCTAAAGAAAATAATTAAAAAAAAATGAAAACACCTTTGTGTTTCCTTGAATAGATTTTTTTCACGCAAGTTTTGAACTAATTTTCCCCGATTAACATCCTGCTCTCTGATACCAATTTGTTTGGCAGTACTGGCACAGTTATATTTGGAACATAGAGAGATTTTTTTAAATTAAAAGGTCATCCTGATGCAGCTGCAGCACTACTGAATATTGTTTTGACATTGTCAACAGAAGGATTCAGAGTAGGAGAAGGAATGCATGGAAAAAATAAGGCAAAGCAGCTGAAGGAGGTTAAGCATAGAATGAACATCCATGATCCCAGATGCAAAAACATGTATGTTTAATCCAACATCAGGAGAACTGAAACACTTCAATGTAATCGGTGCATTTTTAAGATAATCTCTGTAATCATCTGCTTTACTTATATCTTTGTAGAGATATGATATACGACAAGTATTTATTTGAAAACTCTGGATTTCTGCACTGAACACTTCAATTTTTTTAATCCTCCTACAATGACATTTGGAATTTATCACTGTGTTTCATGACAACCTTGTTTCCTTCAGGCAACTTTCTTGATATCTCAGCTTTTAAATAGTGTAAAAGCATTAAAAGACTTTTAAACAATATAGGACATTTAAACTTTAGTTGGAATAGGAACAAAGAAAAAATAAAATGGTGAAGTGCAACAACATTTCAACCTCAAAGTCTTAAGATCTGATGGACCAGAATATCAACACAGATGACTACAGAGATTGTAAACTCAGCACAGAATGCATCATACTGAAGATCTACCCACAGATAATTTTCAGCAAGTGTAAGGTAACATGGAACTATATTAAACTAGCTTGCTCCATCCTATTTTGCCATAAACAGACAACCTGGATAAAGCCCTGAATTATTAAAGCATGCTTAAAAATGAGAACAAGTTTATGAGAATAATAATAATAAGCAAATATATTTTTACTATACTCATCTTTACCTCTAAGTTACTTTTTTACTCTTAACTTATAAAGGGATCTTTCCACATAGAAGCAATGCTTTCTTGGAGCTAAAGGGATAGCAATGAAGTTAGCAGATCCTCCCTGGACAACCTTGATCAACATAATTCATCATTGTGCCTTTTTTTCCTATCTGCCCAATATTGCTATAATGCTCCTTTATGCCTAAGAGATGTTGTGTCAATATTAATAAAGGAATATTAATAAAGTTAAAATTCTCAGAAAACACAATAAATACTCAAGAAGTGTAATTTGTAACAGCAGGCATCCATATATTTTATGGAGGTGCAGGGTTATTTCTAAGAACTAGTGCTATTGTAAAGCCCTTAAATTAGGTTCAAGTATAAAATTAAAAGTTACTCTCATGAAAAAAATGAACTTACACAGCACTTTAAACTGATCTTTTAAGTTAAATTTAAAAGACTTTTTATTCAAGTAATTTTTGCAAATAATAACACTACCTAAGACTGTATAAGACTTGGAACAAGATCATCAAAACACCTATTAGGCAAGAAAAGCCACACTCACAGAGCTAAATTCTTCTGTTGGGACAAGTAAATTCACTTACCTAGCTAATTGATCCACCATTACTTGTTCTACTACAGCCTGTTTCCTCCTCTCTGCAGCAACATCCTCCTGCAATGAAAAACTGACTAAGAACAAGTGAAATGTAACACTAGACATTTCAAATAATAAATTACCCTTTAAGATAGCATTCAGAGGTCACAATCTTACTGATGTCACAATTAATCTTTTTCTTCCATCTTTTTTAATATAATTCTATTTGCATGACAAATAATATTCTCTGCTACACACTCAAATTGTCTATGCATATTAGTTGTCAATAAATATGAAAATTCTAGTATTTATGTTGACAGACAGCATCCTTATCTTTGTATTGTTTCCAATAAATTCTGTAAGTACAATAGAGCCTGAGGAAATTCACACTATTCCAGGTTTTATGGTTGACACAGATTCCAACTCAGAGAATGCAACTTTACCTCCAGCAATATTTAATCAAAAAAATTATTTTAAGACTTAAGTCTCCACGCACAATTTCTATTTGCTGCATGCCACAATAATTTTCTGCTGAGACAGGCCAATCTGAAAACCCTTTCAGGAAAGATCATCCTAAGGGGGAAGGGGATTTAACATGATCTTATTATTATTTTTATTACAGTAACACCGAACCATAACCTTGTGCCAGTCCCTGTGAAGTGCTCAGGCATTGATCTTAGTTTGTTTCACAGAAAGATAAACCAAAGCACAAGAGGATGCCCAAGGACAGCACAGAGACCACTGGCAACGATCAGGCCCCAGAATCTCTCTTTGTTTTATCGTCCACATTTCTGAACTTTTTCACTGCACTTAAATTTGCCTTTTACCCCCCCAAAAATAATTTTTGTATATGAGAAAACAGAGATTACTGTTACTGAGGGGATTTATGCAGCCTTTTTGACAACTTTCTAGGTATTCTGAAACTGAAGAATTAAAGATATTTTTCTGATTATTTTTTTCCACACAATTCTTGTGTGCAAACCAAATTCTAGATAGATGAAGCCTTACCATGGCTGAAGAACTGCAAGTTGGTTCCCAGACATGAGATAACTGAAAGGGATAACCCCTAATTCCACAGAGACATTATGGGTATAACTCACAGTCTTCAAGTAAATATTGATTGGCACTAGACAAAAAAAACAAACCCAAAACAAAACAAAACCAAAAACCAACTAAAAAACGCAAATAAGTAATGTAACACCAGACCAGCTGGTGTTTATTCCAAACTGATCTAAAGCCTTTAAAGACTTCTTAATTATAGGATATAAGAGGCTTGATAGTTTGCTTTCCTATTTTATTTTTGCACCTATGAGAACTACAGGGTGCTTTATTCTGAGTTACTGAATCTTTGTGCATTTGCTGTCAGGTCAGATGTATTAAAAAGCATTATGTAAAGGAGGATACAGTGGTAATACAGAGCAGTGTCTGCTAAAACACAACGTACTGCATGGACCCTGGCTTATAGAGCCAAACCAGCTAGCATGCTGAAAAGAACATGACTTTAAAAGAGAGACCTTGCACCTTGAATTTCAATTGAATCCTAGGTCACAAAAGGTAGTCTTTCATCAAACATCTTCCATTCAGCTTAGACAAAAGCTCTATGAATTTATAAAGTTGCTGAGGCAAACACTGGACTTGCAGTAGCTCTCATTGGTTAAAATGTAGTAACTCTTGTTCACAAAATATGGTTATTCACAGAAAATGAACATTCTTCTAAATAAACCTAATTTAATTATATATATTGACAATCGGACATGTACTATAAGCTGTCTTAAATAAGGGAACTTTCATCCCAAAATACAGAAAAATTAAGAGAAATTCTATTTTAACATTAATGTAAGGTAATGAGTAAAGTAAAAAGAAATTTTAACATTATGTATTCTTAAGGAAAATCTTAAAGCACCTTAAAATCAAACGCCAACAATTGAAGCAATATATACCCAAAGGAATGAATATGTATGCAGTTACCACTTCTGAATTTTTCCATCGTTCCTACCCACTATCAGAAGCTTGAACCCGAGAGAACCCAAGAGATGCTCCTAGAGACAGCCAGCCTGTGCAATCATGAGTGCTAATCAATAACAATGGGGCTTCTAAAGGTCCCCATGACACCTTGCTCAGACACCTGCTGCTTTCCTTTTAAAGCATTCCAGCTACAGTATACATGATATTTTGTCATCCAGCCCTGCTCCCTTTCTCAGTGTTTCCAGCTTATTTGATTTAGCATTAAGTAGTTACTCTACTTATACTTCAAAACTTTTTTCCATTATTTTCACCCTATAGCAGAGATTTTAAAATTTATTCTAAAAATAACAAACAGGAGGTTCTTCAAATTCTTCATAAAAGTACCTTCTGAAAATATGTTCTTATCATGAAAATGAATAGTGACCTCAGTAGTTCAACACCTGCATTCACTTTGATGAGACTAGAAATCAAGTAAATGTTTGCAATGATGCAAAATTCAGTGCATCTTGATGAGCAAGCAAAATAAATTAAAATTATTATTTACTTTTACAATATTGTAAAACTTCTTATTCCACGAGAAGATTAGAATGCTAACTCTGTTCAACACCACCTTCAAATACCAGTCATAAAAGCCATAACTCTGCATATGCAAACACTGAATTATGCAATATCAAATCTTGAGGTTCTTCATCAGTGTAAATAACCCGAAACTCAAGGCTTGGGCTTAGATGAGCAAGATTCCTATTGTTCAGTCCTAAAAAGAGTAAAATTCGTGTCTATGTAAGAAAGTAAGTAAATATATTGGGTACATGCATGTAAGAAAAGTTTTAATTCCCCTCTATGCATGCTAGTGAGGCCATACTTGTTTCTGGTTTTCAGAGCGCCCTCATTCCCAAGATCAATAGGGATGAGAGGAACCTGGAAATGATCTGACAGCAGATCGGAGCCAAAGCAACTGAAAGAAGATGCTAAGGGAGCCTGGGCTTGTTTAGTTTGCAGAAGCAGTAGCTATGAGGCATTCTGAAAACATTCTACAACCAAAAGGTAGTTACAAAGAAGACAGAACCAAACGTTTTTTGACAGTGGCCAATGCTATAGCAGGAGGCAAAGGTTACACCCTGAGCCTTGGGAGGCTGGGTATGGTTAACAGGAAGAGCCTCTTCTCCAGGAGAGTAGTGTATCACAGGAAGATGTTGCCTAGAGATGCTGTAGAAGCTCCACCCTTGGGGAGCTTGAAGACTCAGTCAAAGCATTGGTTAATCCAAATTAATACCAACAGCAGAGCCCATACAGCTTACAAAGCCAGTTCTCATCACATACACCATTTCAGGAGTTAATGAGCAAAACCAGCCAGTTTACTCTATAAAAAAGTCAGAGTAAGAGCCGATGGAATCATGGAATCCATGGATCATGGGATACAGGCTCAGGTACAAGCTAGAGACCAGGGGAAATTAACACTATACTCAGGTTCACTCAACTCAGTTAATCTTAGTTGCATGTATATATTTGTATTTATTATTAATAATTTGCATTCTAATTTATACACATTACTGCATAAAATACAAGCATTGCACATAAGATAAAAAATAAAAATGCTTACTGTCTGGCTCAGTTCAGCTCCCATTGAAACAAATGTTTAAACTCCCATTATTTCAATGGGTGCAATTACATACTAGGGACAAATCACGGAAGGCCTAACTTCCATTGAGCATCTGGAAAGCCATTCTACAAGTCTAGACAGTTAATAGCACACTACCAGCCAAAATACTTACAGCTTCTGATTTCCTTATACTGTGCCACATATTACAGGGCTTGCTTGTGTAGCATTGTTGCAGCAGAGCTTTCTCATCAAGAGCAGTAAGATCATCATCATTATGTCCATCTTCAAGCTGTGTACCCTAGGTAAAAATACATTCTTTTAACAAATAAAATTTAATTAATTTTAAGAAAAGCAAACAAAAAATCTCCCACAAAACAAATTTCCCCAACAATTTATTTAAAAGTATTTTTCTTTCTTCCTTTTTTAAAAAGTGTCTACTTCTTCCACTTCATGCTAATTAGAAAAAGTAACAAATTTTTTAAGCCTAGTTTTCTACAGAAACTGAGCTTACAAATCTTGCTCTCCAGTCTTTCCTTTTAGCTTTTGAATACTTACTACCTTTCAACCCTATTGAAATAAAATCTCAAAAATACTGTGTTCCTCCAATCTTTGTGCAAAATCAGCAGCAAGTCAGAGAAGGTAGACTGTAGGTACCCCTCTGAAGAAGGTAAAAGCTCATCCCTTCTCTGTTCTGCTCAAGAACAGCCATAAGAAAATAGCAGCTTTGCCATTATGCATATAGCTCAAAGTTCACCATTGCAGAGATGCTGCTTTTTGACCATCAAAGAAGTTAAATACAGTCCGGATAAGGAAAAGCCAAAGCACACGGCTGACCTGGGTCTAACAGACCCGTAAACGAGACTGAGGGTATTACAGAAATATCTCCTACACGGAAGATATGAAGAAAACTGACAAAGTGTAGAGAAGTCAGGAGCGAGGGAACACGGGAAATAAATCAAAAGGGAAGGTTTTGTCAGCTATGCTTCTCAGGAGCAGCTTCTTTTCAGAGAAGCAAAGCTATTACAAGTTCCACTAATCTGCTAAAGCAATAAATATATTGAAATCTAAGAAGGATTTGATTTATTAATTTAATCAGGTGATAATGTCTAACACAGAAAATTGCTCTGCTAGACAATATGAAAATCTGTCAAAAGAGCTGACACACACAGCTTCTAGTGCTCAGCAAGTATCTTTCTGGAACCCAAAATCTCCAGAATAAGCCAATCCTGCTTTTTCTCTCTCGGCATACACTTGCCAGCTATTTCTTCAATTTCAAGTTAACTTGGCAGCTCCTGTATACAGCCTTTTGACGAGCTTGCAGAACACCATATAAAGGAGTCACTCCTTGGAAAACGGATGACACGAGGATGTCAGACTAGTACGTAACATTGGAATTGTAAAAAAAACAAACCAAACCAAACCACACACACACACACACCAAAAAAAAAACCCCAAACCCAAAGTAACTGCCACTAAATATAAACTTAACAAAATAATATTTTTTTTCACTCAACTCTTTTACTCACAGAATGTTTAATTCTAGGTACTTGCAGGTCCTCCAGCTTTTAACTGAACACTAGAAGAATGACTATAAGAGGATACAGCCCCTTTAAAACTATCAACACTGTGTGTAAAACAATAAACAACAATATGTGAAACAGAATCTTTGTCTTACGTAAGACCTGCCCTCTTCATTCTACTGAACATTAAGCAAGTAAAATCAGTAAAATTATTGTTATTAATTACAAACAGCACAATATGTTCCCTCAACATCTGCATACTTAACTTTTCATTAAGATTCTTAAATGGTCATCTACCCTCAGCACAATCTAGCATTCGGCCAGTCCTCACAGCTGTTGCTCACTTTTGTTCCCAGTTCCCTTACACCTACAATGATGTATCTTGCTCTGTGCAGCCACCCTTCTCCACTTTCTCTTCCACAACAAGAGGAAAGGGTTTTTTTCACTCCTTTGTTTTCCAGTTTCTCTCCACTGATCTTCCCTTGTTGGCATCTTAGTTTTAATTTAAAAACACATAAGAAACCTGGCAGAATTAATACAGCTTGCGGTCCAACTTTGCAGTATAACCGTACTGGATCTTACACAACATCAATACAAGAAGTAGAGATAATATCTTTCATTATTTTAACTCCATATTCCCTTCCATTTGCAGTGTTAATAGCTCTCTAAGGTAAAGATTACATCTTTCACTCCTCCTTTTTTAAGTCCTACACAGAGTCATAATTGAATAGAACAATAATTAAAATACTTCTATATTTAAAAAATAAAAAAGCCTGAATGCATTTCTGTATTTGGAAATAATATTTTAGCAAGATCTTCCTGCTGTCTCTCATCATCTTAGGCTGCAAACTCCTCCCTGTCAGTCACCCTGATCTTCATCCTCAGGCTAGAGGTGCACCATGAGGGCAAATGTTACATTTCTTACCACAGAATACAAACTTACTTAGATCCTCAGAGCACCTCAGTTTCTTATTCTGGAACAAATGAAACAAGCTTCCTATATTTTATTTCCTACTCAACATTAGATGCTGAAATTACACATTTTTATTTATTTACGATAAAAACATGCAAGAAATTAATTACACACACGTGCAAACCTCTCCAAACACTGTAGTGAAATACCAACGTACACTTGCTATTTAAAAATGCAATTACTTCTTTGCCAGCTACCTTTATCGAAGCTTCTGGACACTGGAGGTGGTCTTTTTTCTTTTCTGCAATGCTCTGAGAATACTGCTCATATTCTTCCTGCGTATCTGCTTCATACTGATGATGCTTCAATTTATATTTGCCTGTTGGTGACGGCAGATTTTCTGGTATTGTCTTCTGCTATAAAACAGAATGTTAAAGCAAAGAATAATCAATAGGAAAGCCAATGGCTGATCTATTGAAAGAGAACAGCATTATTATAATTCCTATCCAGTATAACTTCTGAAACTTCTTCACACTATGCTTCACATTAAAAAAAAATACAAATATGACTGCATATTCAAGCTTAATTTTCATTGAGTTCTTATATTCTGCCATTTTTAAATCTAAAAAGTACACAGACAAATGGTTTTATACCTCTTTTAAAGAGAAAAGCCAAGATTCAGTGTTTCTGTCTGATAAAATAATGTTACAGATTACTAAAACGGGAATTCTGACATTTGATTTTGGATGACTGAAAATGGGTTGATGGATTTTTCAATCAGAAGTTCTAATATTCCTGGATGGCAGATGAGCATTAGTACTGGGACTTCCTTCCCTAGAGAAACACCAGCTGAAAAGGCTTTGAAGCCAGCCAAGTACCTTTCTAATGTGATGTCCATTTCAGTGCTCTACACAATGGAGGGTGTAGAAATAGCAGCAATGACAGAAGGCCAAGACTCCATTCTTCTTTCGCTGAATAACTAATACCGTCAGCATTTAAGTGATATTCCTTCAATGCTAACAAAAGTAAGATGGTCTTATCTAGCATCTCTACTTGACACATCTCATCTTGCAACAGCAGTGCAACAGTCCTGTTCTAGAAAACCATCTCGCAAAAATCCAAAAGATGTATGTTCTTGAAAGGGCAGCTTTCTCTTTCAAAAGAGGATCCACATTCCTTCACTGGTTAATTCCTGAATGATGACACTATATTTAAATTATTCTTCCAAAAATTACCTATTTTGGGAAGATTTACTTACACAGTCTGTTATTGATGAAGCTGGAATATATCTTGCTAAAGGAATGCTCAGTCAGGACCCCAGAAGCAAGCAAGGCAGAAATAAAGGTCACTCAGAGGAATACATTAAGATATTTTAGAACTGCTTGAAAATCTTCTCCATAAAAAAGAAATACTAAATAAAAAAAAGTCAGGCAAAAATAGAGAGAGAGACAGAGCAAAAGAGGGTAAGTGAACAGAAGACACATTCCTGCACATCCAGCACTCCTGTATTTAAGAGATAATGAAGGCAGAAAGGAAGTAACAACAGTTTCACAAAGAAAAGCAGAGAAGAAAGGGAGAAAGATTCTGAGAAACAGACAAAGCCATACCAGCCTCCTGTTAGCCTTCCTGCAGTTAGACAGAATTATATGTATGAACTTTATATTTTAAAAAAAAAAGAGGTAAAGCAAGGAATGAAATTCTAGGCATCGAGACCTAAAAACAGAATAGTAACTCAAGTATGTTTGCACTGCACACTTACAGTGCAGTACAGAGGAAAATAACTATCTGTTGTAACAAGGGGAGATGTTATCACTCTCTACAACTACCTGAGGTTGTAGTGAGGTGGGTCTCGATCTCTTCTCCCCAGTAACAAGCAATATGACAAGAGGAAATGACCTCAAGTTGCGCCAGGGAAGGTTTAGATTGTATAGTAGGAAAAATTTCTTCACCTTAAGCACTGAAACAGGCTGCCCAGGGAAGTGGTGGAGTCACCATCCCTGGAGGTATTTAAAAAACATGTAGATGTGGGGTTTAGGGATGTGGTTTAGTGGTGGACTTGGCAGTGTTAGGTTTATGGTAGGACTCAATGATCTTAAAGGTCTTTTCCAACCAAAACAATTCTATGATTCTATGTTTACAGATGCATCTTACGATGTGTATAAACCTATGTTGGGCACATAGATATTCTGAGTATTAGTACATCCTTAGTCAGTTATTTGAAACAAAACAAAAAACCCCACTTGACCATTTTGGTTTTTATTTAAATGCTTTTTTTTTTTTTTTTTTTCAAGCTGAGAAACCGTTTGGTTATATAGGGAAACATAAAATTATGATCTTGGTAGGTTTACCTTGAGCTGCAGCCAATTTGGAGTCCTGCCATACAAGTTGCTATATAATTTGTTTCAAGGGGCACAGGTTATATACAAATTAATTAAAAACTGTTTTTCCCTCCAGCTACACTTCTGTTTGCATCACATTCATTAGAGTATTTCTTGGGTTTACGTAAGTTAAATATTCTGGAAACAATGGATTTTTAAACAGTGTATTTTCCAATTCTTCCAAAAAGAGATAACAATGATAAGTAGGGATATTTCCTACACTCTAAACAAATGAAAATGTACTACTACTAATAAGATTTTTACTATTATTATGTATGGTACATGATTATGACAGAAAATAATCACGTAGGTAGCATTGTTTCTCAATTAGTTTAAAGCTGTAGATATCTAAACTCTTGAATACATAGGGACTACAAACCAAAGACTACTATTTGCAGTACTTCAGCATTTTTCCTTTAATTATCACATTTGAAACACTCAAAATACTGATGGAATGACCATATTAAAAATAGTCTCTCCCATAAGCTAGTTCCTGTCACAGAGAAGTTAAAACATATTACATTTTCAGACCTTACACTATAGTACTCTACTACTGAACTGCTAATATTATTTTGTTAAGTGTATATTTTTTCAGCTACTTTACCTCTGTTTTCTTCTGACAAGATTTTCTAGACACCTGCTTAAACTAAAAGAAAAGAGAAATTAAACATGTATCAATGATCAAATAAAAATATGCCACATTCTTTTTTTCAAATTTAATTCAGACATAAGAGTTCAAAGGAAAATTTTTCCTGCATTCAGGGAACTGTGATAACTCAGTAATTAAATTAATTCTTAAAATTGTTATAGTGGACATTGATCCTGAACAGAGCTGTACTGTACTATAAACCAGAATGTTAGCATCTGGACTACTGATTTTCCTTATAAAGCACCTAGGATTAGTGGTGATTCTGTTTCTTAGTCATCCAGGGAAAAAAATGCTGATATGTGATCAGGAAAATTTAACTATAAAAGTGTTCGGACAAATCGAACATAATTTCAAAGTTAACATCATGGTTCTGCTTTAAAGAGAAGAGAGTTCAGAAAAACCCTATGAAATGGCTGCACATAACTCCAAAAGTTTCCTTTTCACCAGAGGTAACTATTCTTCCATAGAAATAATACTTATTGTTTGTAAACTTGGGTTTTGCCTTCAATCATAGACTTACTGAGTACTATTGATCTTGTCTTTATTATATTTTTAAGTTCCACTTTATTTAGAAAGAAAAACCAAAGTTATAGGCTACCTCAAAAGTATTACATTTTTCAGTTACTTAATAAAGATAGCTACTAATGTATCTCTTAAAAAATGAGTACAATGAAAAGGATGAGTGTATCAACCAACAAAGAAGAGTTAAAGTATTTAAGAAAATAGGATTTTTTTAAATATTCTAGAGGCTTCTCAGTAAAAAGTACTTTGCCAAAAATATTCTCAACCAATAGCACTTGGAGACAAGAGCTTAACCAAAATCGTCACTTGTTTAACCAAAGTTATAACTTGTATAATAAATCTAAGTATGTTTTAAAATATTCCCCTTTAGAGGTAACGTAGAAAAGACACTTGCAGCAACAGACTGACCTGTTGAGCCTGATGATGCTGTGCATTTGGTGTTCGTAATGACGCTCTCCAATCTGGAGATGAATCTAGAAGGCATGTATGAGGATAACTTCCACTGTATGGTATGTAAGAGTCCCCATCCTAAAATTACAGGAGGGGAAAAAAAAAAGGGACAAGCAATCGTAATTGTTTCATATTCAGAGTGATATTTTTATAAACTCCTGCAACATACGAATTCTAGAAACTATTAATTTATAATTACCTCTTCATCAGAATCTCTCAGCCTCCCTAGATCTAGGCATGGCACCCTGCAGGAAGTTAAAATGATTTTAATAGCGATACATTAACTTATTTTTCAATTACAGTAAAAGCAAACTGCCTATTAGTTATTATTATTATTATTATTATCTCCTTCACAAAAATTTCCCTGCTGTGAACAGTTTCACTACAACTGGAGATAGCTGACTCAGAAAATCCTTATTAGCCCCTCTTGCTTCAGCTCAGGAACTGGCCACTGAGCTTTTCCTCTTCCCCAGTTGCAGCCAAAGCCCCTGTAAGGCCCTTCTTCCCTCCCAGCATGCCCATCTTGGCTTCTCTTCACTCTGCAACAGGAGCTGCTTCAATAAGATCATAAATCAGGGATTCCTTATTCCCATCTTCTACAGCAGGTCTATGTCAACATCCCTGTACAATCAGTCAACAAAGAGGCAACAGGGAACCAATAGCTCCTTGGCATGCAAACTTTCCAAACTTTCTGTAAGAGATTAACACACTGGAAGCCAACTATGCTTCAGTACTTTACTCTGCTTAAGAAATGAAAACACCTCCAATTCACCAAAGCATCTCTGTGCCTTCTGCTTTTACTTCAGGTATATTCTGGCACATCATGAATTCATATTTTTCATATTTTACCAACAATATTTCCAAACAACCCTATTATAACAAGATTACTTCTTGGAATAAGAGAACTTTCTAATTTCCAGTCTTTACACAGAAAGGGAAGCTATTTGACTTTGATATGAACAATCCAAGGTCATGGTCACACATGCTTATAAAATAATGTAGAAAGAATCATTGGCTATAAAGCATTCCAGTAAACAAGAAAACCTAAACTATAAAACATGGTCCTTGGAAGAGCAGATGTTGCTTACCTGTTGAAGGCACTAAAAGGTTTTTAATTTTTAGAAACATTGTATAAAATTTCCCATTTCTTGTAAAAACCCTGCACAACAGTTTCTCTGTAATGTTTACTGTAATACCTGCAGAAAAGGCTAATAGTTAAAAAATGTTTTTCTCTTTTTGCAGACTGCTATATTAAAAATATTCAAGAAAGACTAGGTATAAATATGAAAGCTCTGAGTACAACTCTACTGTTAAACTCAACCAAATGTAAACCAATTTAATTCCAATGTAAATAATGCATCAAATATTCTCCTGTAAATATAAATCACAGAAAACAAACCTATGATGATAAATTTCATGGAACAGTGAGTTGCATATAAATGCAAAAGCATTGTGTTAATCATGCACAATTAAACAAACTGATCAGAAACAGAAGCAGACTTACTCTGGTGGGCGAGGGCCATGAGTGGCTCGTGTATCTGGTCTCCAGCCCTAAAAGAATGACACATTATTACATACCTACAGGGATTAGGATTAAAATACACGGTTCGCTCTTTCAACTTCCCCTGGAATATTTAAAATCAATGTCTCAAAGTATCTATCCAACATATTTGACTGAGATGCTACTAACAAAAGCACAAACCAGAAACTTTCCATTGACAGTTGATTCTTACAGATCTTGAGACTAAAAGACTGAATATTCATCATGCTAGAAAGATTTCCAGCCATTAAGAATTCACAACACAGATGGTATCCACATCAGCTAATAATGCTTTAAAAATAATCAATTTTCTTGAGACTTTGTACAATCACTGTTCATAAGGGTTTAGGTTTCCAACTAGCAATCGTCCTTGTCGGTTGGGAACCAACCCCCCAGCCAACCCTTAAGCCAAAATACCAACAGCCAGCTAGCTCACAAGGAGCTAGCTCAGATCCCAAAGAAGCCTTGATATTTGCAGTAACTATCATCTCAGCTATAGCAGCACATGATGATGAGTAGGCAGCTTCTGCACTCACACTGTTTATTTTGCATGGCCATGTACCACACAGATCTCCAAACTCAGCTGAGCAACAACCTGGCAAGAAGACTCAAGCCAAAGCTCCATCTACCCCACTACAGCTTTCTGAAAACAGCCAACAGCAAATCCCTAGGGGAAAGACTGTTCGACTGGGGCAAGCACACATTCCCCCAACTGGCCTTCCAATCTGAAAAAAAAAAAAAAAAATGTGTTTCAGGGATGTTCTGAACCAGGGCCAGCATCTTTGTTTTCACACTCTTCAGCTCAGAGATCTCAGCATCACAGTCTGAACTCAGCAGACATCCTACTTCCAGTGGTGCCCTAACATCTTTCACGATTTAAGAGTAGTCAAAAAACTGTAACTCCTTTCTTGCCACACACCCATGCAGCCTGCTCCTGAAAAAGAAGTTCACAGTTCAGCAACGCTGCCCAGTAGTGCCTTCAAAAAAGGCTATTCAGGTTTAAAAAAATTAAAATGCCTCTCCAGTAAGGTAAGGCGGCACGTGAGAAACACCGCCGCCTTGTGGTCAAATAGGTAAAAACCGTTACGAGTGTAACCTAATTTATTCTTAAAACTAAATGCAACGCATTAAATCACAAGTATACGATTTTTCTGTACCATTTCAACTCTGCTAAGATAAAGAACGTACCACATGCTAGATGTTAAATTCATAATGTAATTCCTTTTCCAAAAGTCATCAAATCAGGAAGAAAGCAAACAAAAATCATCCTGAAGACTGCCCACATTTATGGGGTAAACCACCTAGTTTCAACTTAATTTTAATCTATGATTTATTTTTGTAAGCCACCAAGAATCAGATAGACCAGGGAGTCTAAATTTGGAAACTGGGGGGCATGAGAAAAAGAAGGAAAAAAGGGGTGAGAAATTAAGATAAAAATGGGACATTTCACTTCTTTTGCAGTCTACACTAAAAGCCCTAAAGGTTCTGTTGTATGCAGGTATTTCATTCTCAAAAGACTAGCTAAAAGGTAACATTATAAAATTAATGTGACATCATTTACAAAAGGTCCTTTTTCCTTCCAAATGAGGGAAGATTACCAATTAACTTTAATTCAGGGGCATAAAGTACACAGTATCCGTGAGAAAAAACAATTGCTATTAAAAATATTAATATTTACCTCAGCTATAATAAAAACAACGGCCCTCGGAATCCAGGATCGTATTTGTACTACTCAAGCTTTCAAAAGTTATCCTGAAAGTTTCTGCTACAGTGATCTTGTGAGGGTTGCACACCTAACTTATCTCAAAACAGAGACTATTAGGAATACCTGGAAAACAAAATTCCCCTTCATACTGAATGCAGAGCACTGAGAGTCATTTCACACATCTATCGGAAAGCATGCCGTTGAAATTATGTTTTGGGGGTTGCTTTACTTTATCGCTGCCTTGCAAAACAAAAAAGACACACCTGTTACCAGTTTCACCAACAGCTCAAGACAGCACACAGCACAGCTTTAAACCTCTGCTGGACTTAATTGCAAGCATTAGCTTGTTCCCAAGTTCTCCACATCCCAGCTAAGTACCCTGAATATCAGTAATTTTAGGCCAGCTATTTTTATTGGAAATTCTCTCCGTCTTTTGAGAAGTTATCATACTAAACTATCACTTGCTGACAAAAACAAATTCTTTACAAGTTTTCTTCTCTACAGAGTATATTATAACCTTGAACTAAAAACCTTCTGAAGTATGACTAAATTATTTGTAAAAATATAAAAGTAAGGAAGGAAAACAACCACAAGCCTTCCTTTAACATACCTGACATTTCTTCCCCATCAATGACAGCTGAGCCTGCTTTCGAGGGGATGCAGCAACTCCTTTAACTTCCAAATCCATGCAAACTCAATGGAAGCCTTCAAAATAAACTGAAAATCAGAAAAAAAATACTAAGAAAATGATGTATTTTTTATATAAGTACTTCTGCAAATAAACATTATTGCAATAAAAGAATGTGTCCATCACCAACAATTTGGGTATTGTCTTCAGCAATCTGTGAAATTTTGCTGGGTTCCCTTTTTCACTGCCTCTCAATTTCAATCTTTCCTTACTAATGCTTGACCAGATTCCTGTCCAAATTTGCATCTTTGCCTCAAGTTTAACTCCCTCTTCCCTTTACACTCCTCTTGATACCTTCTCATACCAGCACTACTGATTTGCTACCCCTCCAAAATATCAAACCTCTTTTACTCTTCACTTAGTGATGCTGCCTGGCTCCTGACTGCACCATGCCCTGGGACCAAGTATTTTTGGGAAGGTATGAAGGGCGCTCCTAGCACACCGATGGCCTCCGAAGGCTCTGGAGTGACACTATCAGTACGCCATCAGCCTCCTGCTCTGCCGGTTTCTCCTCACACCCTGCCAGTTTTCAACCAAAAGCCTATCATTTATTTCCTATAAATCAGATGCTCCATTTTCAACTCTCCATCCACAAAAGCTGACCCAGTTTCTACCCCCTGAGCCAGTTTTAACTCCCAGGTACCCGTGCCCTGAGCAGGCAGGGCAGCTGCAGGAGGGCCTGCTCGCAGAGGCCCACACAGCTGCCAGCCACCAGAAACGGGCCGGCCGCAGCCCCGCTCCCCGGGCGCTTACAGCGAAGAGCCGCCGCCTGCACACGAGCTCAAGCGCAGCGCCTGCCAGCTGAAGGCGCAGGGGCAAGAGACCGTTGGTGCCTTTAACCGTTAACAGCCGAAATAACGTTACCGGGAGCAATAATCATTATGGGCTCAGGCAGCTCCACGGAAACGATGTATCTTCCCGGGAGCGCAGGGCGGGCAGTGCCCAGGAGCGGCCCGGGGCCCCGGCAGGGCAGGGCAGGGCACCGGCCGCCCTCTCTCACCGGCGGGGCCGGACGGGCCGAGCACGGCTGACGGAGAAGGCCCG